ATAAATTATAAAATGACTTCCTCTCCTCTCACCTTTTCCTGCTGAGACCTGGCTCTTCCCAGGTCTTGGCTTTCTGCCCTTACAACCTCTGGCGTATGTGTATTATACTCAGGGCACCAAGCAGAGGTCGACAAGTTACTGTAAAAGACTAGGCCATGGAAAGAAATCTTTACTGACTTTCAATAAGCTTTGGCCTAAAAGCACATTGGTTCATTTCATATTGGGAGGGACAAGCTCTTGTACATCAGCCTATGTATGGGCAATACATCGAAGAAATGAGCCAGACTATAGAAATGTTAAATTGCTTGCATGCAAGTATATTTAAAACTCTATGAAATGAAAAAGTACAATCCTCATTCTTCCATCCCAAGACATTCTGCTAAAACTAATTCTTTTTTTTTTTTTAATTTTTTTTTCAACGTTTATTTATCTTTGGGACAGAGAGAGACAGAGCATGAACGGGGGAGGGGCAGAGAGAGAGGGAGACACAGAGTCAGAAACAGGCTCCAGGCTCTGAGCCATCAGCCCAGAGCCCAATGCGGGGCTCGAACTCACGGACCGCGAGATCGTGACCTGGCTGAAGTCGGACGCTTAACCGACTGCGCCACCCAGGCGCCCCTAAAACTAATTCTTATGAGCAGTATGACAAGAATACGCATCATGAAAAATACTGGAATTGTAGAATAAATAATGAATGCAACTGGAGTTCATAGGTGACAGTTACATATTGAGAGACTTAAATCAATCACTTTCCTGTTGTTTCTGAATTTCTCATTCACATTGAAAAACGAATTGTTTAGTTCTAAAGAAGCTGTAAATTTAAATAGAAGACATATTCAGCTATAGATCTTGAGCCATCAATTGACAGCATTATTGACACCATCAGCCAGTGAATTAAAAGCTCTGTTAGTAAGAACAAGGCATATTTTCAATTCAGATTGACACTATTGAAGATACAGACATAACTGACATCTCTTCACTAAAACTGTACTAAGATATATCACAGGATCTGGGAAAGTGTCTGATACTTAGAGTAAGCATTAAGTCAAACACTGGAAAAAAAACACGTTCCAGACTGTCACAGATGTTCTCAGCGAAAGTGTGTAGGATGTTCAGCTGATGGAGAATTTGACATGAGGGGACTGTTTAATGAGTTAAATTGTGTTCTTTAAAAAAAATACACATAAGCCAGGCTTCTGTGTGGTGTGATTCTTTGTTTTGGATTTGCTAATAGGAGGTAAGACATCAATGTCAGTCCTCATTCAGTTATTATATCCTTGTGGGTCATCCTTAAGAGAATCATGTGGGAAGGGAGAGATTTTTAGATACTATTTTAAACTCTCTTTGGGGAAATGAGGCAGTGGGCTAAAGATATGGATTTGACAAAAGTGTTGGAGAAGTAGAGAGCTCAAAATCTGATTCTGTGATTTGCATGACAGCATTCTCATCTGAGTGTGTGGTAGAAACAGAAACACTGAATAATAGAGTCACACGGCTCAGAAATTGCTTGAGTTGGGTAGCAGGTTAGGGCACTAAAATACAGACCAGTGCTCAGGTGATCACTCAAGGGGCACAGATTGCATAAGCAAACTCAGCACATGGAATGTGACTCCTACTCACCAAAGAAAATTCCAGAATACTGAATTAGGAACATTAGCAGTAAAAGAACACTGGGTAGGTATCACCTCTAGCCCTCTTACCCTAGCTGCATTATTTTTCAGATAAAGAGACCATGGTCCGAAGAGGGAGACTGATTCCTCTGGTCATATTTTTTATTCATTCATTCACTTAGTAAGTGTCTAATGAGCATCTATGATGAGCCAGGTGCCATGCTAAATAGTAGGCAGGAGTAGATCCAGCTTTGTGGATCCTGAAGCTTATATAAGTTTAAGAAAAGAATGTAAAGTTAGGTCAAAAAGTGAATACTTATGTAGACTAATGGAAAAACACAAACAAAAAAAAAATGCTGAAGCCAACAATCACCACAGACATTACAAAATCCAGAAAAGTAGCGTAACACTTTTGTTAATTAACTACCTATCACACCTCTATAATATCTTTCCCTAACAATTTTGGGCACATATTCCTCATCACCTTTCAATGACAATGATTTTAGAATATCATTTTCTGTAGACAGAAAAGGAAGTCTTCTCTTCAATATCATTAATCAAAATTTGTTTCTGATAATTGGCAATTTGAAGTGGTTTTTTTTTTCAGCTTCACAACTAATTATAAGGAGTGTAATATAAAATTTCAGAATTGCCAGCAAATTTGGGAAAACATTTATCAAGGAGAGAACTCTTTTGATTTGCTTCCAGCAACAAGAACCAAACCCTTAGGATTTTATACAACTGATGATTGGAAGAATTTTTCATAGACTAACTTCAGGCACCATATAGTTCAAACCTTGTTTCTCTTCTACTCGCCCTGTGCCTCCCCTGCTTGGAGCCATAGGAATACACTCATTTCAAAGCACAACCTCTGGCCCTTCATCATTATATCCCAACACCAGACGAGTTGGCACAGGAGGCAGTGGGGTTATATCTGGAAGCTGTTCTTGGATTGGATCAGCAAGTAATAACTTAGCTATACCAAAAAAGTGAATGGGAGCCACAGAAATATATCTTATTAAACTAAAATTAAATATCTATGCAACTCAACCCTCTCTTAGCTGAATCCAAAACTCACTCCTGGCCACACCAACACGACTCACCACAAAGAGGGAGTGTGACAGAGGGGAAGTCAGTGGGGAAAGACCCGGCAGTGTAACTGATTGTGATTAAAATATCTAACTTATGCAACTTTTACCAAAATTAAATGGTCATGTGAACTTTTGTTAAAGGCCTCTTCCCCCTACCCCCCAAGTAAAGGCACAATGCAAGTTAGGAACCTGAAGCCTAAAGTACACTAGCTTTATGGTAAATGCATCTAAGGTGGTAGGGATTCAATAATGAAAATCAGGTAGCTATTGGAAAACCATCTGTAAGGGTTAAATTGTAGTGTAGGGCTAACCTGTAGCCTTAAGAAATAACAGCTTTAACACTATAGGTTAAGAGATAACAGCGTTATCCTATCAATCAAGGGATGAATTAGTGTTTGATTGGATTGGGGCAAGGGCCTGTTTGAAATGTTTCCACCTGGGAACTATTCCTTTGTTCTGCTCCCAGGTGATAATAAGATGATGTGGTAGGCTATAAAAGCTCTGTACCCAGCTGTTCGAGACGGCACTCTGGTCAAGAATGTTGGTCCGGGTCGATCGGTTTGCCTTGCCTCTCATTGCAGTAAACTTTGTTGTGACTGTCACTGGTGCCTGTAGCATTCTGTTTCAGGAGTCATGTGGATGCAACATTTGGTGCATTGGCCGGGAAAGTTAAAGGTCTGAAACAGGGTCCTTTCCTCGGATTGCTCCACCGACCCCTGGAAGGAGGATCGGGATTGGGAGAGGTAAGGATTGGGGCACGCAATTTGAATGATTCAAGAAGGGTCTGCTGGACGCGGCTATCGACCCAGAGTCGGGGTTCCTACCGGGATGCCGGTGGATCCCATTTGGTTTGGTTTTTGTTACAAAGGATCCTATTTTCAGGTGGCTTCCGTGGCCTACTGGCCTCGAGATCTCGAACTTGTGTTCTCTTCGTGTCTTAATTATTTTCTTTCTGTTGATTGTCTGGGCGTCCTTCTCAGTTTTGCCCATCTTTGTCATGGATCAAAATCAGAGTCCCCCCACCCCTCTGAGTCTCATACTAACCCATTTCCAGGACTATGGGAAAGCTGCCTCAAGGCCTTAAAACTGTTACACATTCTTTCCTAATCATGCCTGAATGCCCCTACCCTGGATTACTGGGTAGAGACCTATTACATAAACTGCTTCTTTGAGATTCACTGAAGGAGGTATGCCTGTTAAAGTCAGCCAGGATGGCCCAACAATAGTAATGGCGACTGTGCCACTTGGGAAAGAGGGCCTACGTACCCCGGGTACCCAATGAAAATGTTCACACAGTCAATCTCCTCCTTAAAAGTCTCTAGGTGGACTTTCCCCAGGTATGGGCTGAGACCAAACCACCTGGACTGGCGATTCATCAAGCCCCAATAATCGTGGAACTTAAGGCGTCCGTGTTTCCAGTAAGACTGAAACAATATCCTATGTCCCGGGAGGCTAGGCGGGGAATCGCTGTTCACATCAAGCGTTTGCACGACTCGGACATTCTGACCCCATGCAAGTCGCCATGGAATACTCCACTTCTCCCTGTCCAAAAGTCTAACTCCTCCGATTTTCGGCCAGTTCAAGACCTGAGAGCAGTAAACACCAGAGTAATGGATATTCATCCCACTATACCCAACCCGTATACTCTCCTTAGTCTGCTTCCCCCTTCTCAGGTGTATTATACAGTTCTGGACTTAAAAGACGCCTTCTTTGCCATCCCACTGGCCCCACAGAGCCAGCCACTGTTTGCATTTGAATGGACCAATCCTGAAGAGGGAAAGCTGGACAGCTCACCTGGACGCAACTCCCCCAGGGATTCAAAAACTCCCCTACTCTTTTCAATGAAGCCCTGAACCAGGATTTAGAACCATTTTGAATCTCCAAACCACAGGTAACTCTGTTGCAGTATGTTGATGATATCTTGCTGGCAGCCCCCTCTCATTCAGAATGCCTGAGTGCCACCAAGGAACTCTTGAGTCTTTTGCAAAAACTAGGATACCGAGTGTCAGCCAAAAAAGCGCAGATCTGCCACACTGCGGTCACTTATTTAGGTTACAACATTAAAAAAGGTAAGCGCTCTCTCGGTGAACAAAGAATTCATGCTATACTCGATATTCCTCAGCCTAAAACTCGCAAACAAGCTCGCAAGTTCCTGGGGGCAGCAGGCTACTGTAGACTATGGATACCTGCTTTGCTGAACTGGCAGTCCCTTTGTATGCCACTCTCAAGGGGTCTCCGGAGTCCTTCACATGGGGGGGAGACTCAAATTAAAGCCTTCCAAGCTTTACGAGAGGCTCTCATGACCCCACCGGCCTTGGCCCTGCCAGATCCCACTAAGCCATTCCATTTGTTTGTAGCTGAGAAAGGGGGAGTAGCTAAGGGAGTTCTGACTCAGCTCCTGGGAACTTGAGGCCGACCAGTGGCCTATTTATCCAAAAGGCTAGACCCAGTTGCTTCCAGATGGCCCACATGCATTCGACAGATAGCTGCCACCACACTACTAGTCAAAGATGCAGATAAACTAACCCTGGGACAGACGTTGTCTGTTACAGGGCCCCATGAAGTGGAGGCCTTACTGCGGGCTCCCCCAGAACGGTGGCTGTCAAATGCTTGGATTACCCAGTATCGAGCATTGCTGCTCGACCAGCCCCGGATACGTTTTTGTGCCCCCGCAGCCTTAAACCCAGCTACTCTGCTGCCCGAAGGACTAGGTCCCCCTCTACATTCTTGCCCAGGGACCTTAGCTACAGTTTTGTTCCTCCGCTCCGATCTCACGGACATTCCCCTACAGGATCCTGATATCAACATGTTTTCAGATGGCAGTAGTTTTGTGTTTCAAGGGCAAAGGTATGATGGTGCTGCGGTTAGGACAGAGGGCAAGGTTCTATGGCAACAGAGCCTTCCCCTGGGAACCTCAGCCCAGCGCGCAGAGCTCATCGCGCTAACTAAAGCTCTGAAATTCTGTAAAAACAAATCAGTTAATGTTTATACGGACAGCTGCTATGCCTTTGCAACTGCGCATGTTCACGGGTCCATCTATTAAGTGCGGCCTCCTCATGGCGAGGGCAAGGACATCAAAAATAAAGCGGAAATTCTAGACCTTGTAACAGCCATCTGGGAACCTGTGAGACTCGCGATCATTCACAGTCCAGGACATCAAAAAGGCAACACCCTAGAGGCAGTCGGAAACTGCCTGGCTGATGCGGCAGCCTGGGAAGCTGCCCTAACTGAAAGTAAAAGTGCTTTGGCACTACGGATCTTGATAGACCCCCTGCTTCCGCCGGAGCCCAATTATACTCTTAAAGATTTGGAGTGGATTTCAAGAAAAGGAAGAAGTATGATACCGGGACAAAAATGGTTTCAGGATCCTGAAGGTAAGATACTCTTACCCGCGGCACTTGGGCAACGCATGGTGTGTCTGCTCCACCAAAGGACTCCTCTGGGAAAAGCAAAGATGGTGGAATTGGTGCGGAAAAAGTTCAGGATGCAAGGGCTGGGAAAAGAGATCGAGGAGATGAAAGATGTGTAAGTTGCGCCCAAGTAAATCAGGATGCAAATAAGGTTTCAGAAGCTTAAAGAGATAGAGGAACTGAGCCAGGCCGGTTTTGGGAAGTAGATTTTTCTGAAATTAAACCAGGGAAATACAGATACAAGTATCAGCTTGTTTTTGTGGATACCCTCTCCGGGTGGGTTGAGGCGTTCCCCACTAAATCAGAAATGGCTCAGGTCACAGTTAAGAAACTATTAAATGAACTAATTCCTAGATTCGGACTGCCACTGAGCATAGGATCAGACAATGGCCCGGCCTTCACAGCACAGGTATTGCAGGGTCTAGCCAGAGCGTTGGAAATAGATTGGAAATTACATCATGCATATAGACCCCAGAGCTCCGGTCAAGTAGAAAGGATGAATCGGACTCTAAAGGAGACCTTAACCAAATTGTCCCTTGAGACTGGCGAAAATTGGGTTGATGTTCTGCCTTTTGCGAGTGCGTTATACTCCATTTATCAAGCGATTATCCCCTTACAAAATCTTATTTGGCAGACCTCCACCTATCTTGCCAAGGCTAGGGGACGGCATAAAGAAACAGCTAGAACAGGACCACTTGTTGGTTTCACTCATGGCCCTGCATCTTGTACAAAAGGAAATAACTAAGGCCTTGAAAGAAGCCTTTGTCCATCCTCCTGTTCTTCCCCACCCCTTTCAACCAGGAGACTTAGTTTGGGTCAAGAGGCACAAGCCTGAAACCCTGGAGCCGCTCTGGAAAGGACCACATACCGTGATCCTGACTACACCAATGGCTGTGAAGACAGACGGTGTCCAAACCTGGATTCATCATTCTCAGGTTAAGAAAAACTGTGCGGAGGCAGAAACACCCAGGACTGATACGGGACCAGAGAACAAACAGCGATGGAAGGTCAAAAGGCACCCAGAGGATCCTTTAAAGATAAGACTGATGCGGGAATAATAATTGTCTGGGTTTGTATAAGCTTGGGAGACTGTGGAACTGCACCCCTTGTCTTTTTGGCCATACCAATGGGAACTCAGACACTGTCACACGGAAGGTGGTAACGTCTAACGCCTCTTGTACTATGCCTTGTTTCTTGTTTGACCTGTGTGACCTGGTAGGAGAAGGATGGGGGTTGTAAACCTGGGCAAGAGCTCTCAGGAACATTGGGGAGAACAATTGTGGATGTGGAAATAGGGCACTAGAGCGAAATTCGGCTAAGATGCAGATAGAAAAAAATGAATGTGAAGGAGAGGGTCAATACCACTGTGCCAAATTGGGTTGTGAGACGCTAGCCCACTGGTTAACAGGACAGGACCTTGACCCCCTAATTACTCTCCTTAGAACCCCGAACCCCCAATGTGAGGCCCAAGGAAAATGTAACCCAACACCAGCTCATCTATTTTCTCCTCATTCTGAGATACTGGGCACACTTGGGGCCTCCGAATGTATGATGTCATTATGCCCTTGGAGTTCGAGACCAATTTTAACCCTAGGGGACCTCCAAGGGCAGGGTTGGTGCATAGTGTCTCATGCCAACAATTCTGGAGCAATTAGAGGCCCTCAGTTTAGTAAGGAAAAATCTTAGAGCCAGGGAACGTGCCAGGGAGGCCAGCAATAATTGGTATCACTCTTGGTCCCCCTGGCTCACATCGCTGCTCACCACCATAGCTGGGCCACTGCTATTGTTACTTCTCAGGTTAACTATCAGCCCATGCATTATCAATTGCTTAGTACAGTATGTCAAGAGGTGAGTTGGTGAAATAAAAATTATGATGATTAGGTCCAACTATGTCCCCTTAGTTCCTAATGATGAATCAAGGGATTGATTCACGGACAAGAAAAGGGAAATGTAAGGGTTAAATTGTAGTGTAGGGCTAACCTGTAGCCTTAAGAAATAACAGCTTTGTTTTAACACTATAGGTTAAGAGATAACAGCCTTATCCTATCAATCAAGGGATGGATTAGTGTTTGATTGGATTGGGGCAAGGACCTGTTTGAACTGTTGCCACCTGGGAACTATTCCTTTGTTCTGCTCCCAGGTGATAATAAGATGATGTGGTCAGCTATAAAAGCTCTGAACCTCGGCTGTTCGAGACTGTACTCTGGTCAAGAGTGTTGGTCCCGATCTAGCAGTTTGCCTTGCCTCTCATTGCAATAAACTTTGTTGTGACTGTCACTGGTGCCTGTAGCATTCTGTTTCAGGAATTGTGTGGATGCAACACATCCAATGGCTTTTAGTCTAAACTGGTAGACCAGCAATTACCATACCATGTTTGTTCACATAGAGAAAGAGCATATGGACTACTTGTGAAAACACATAGAAGACACATCCCTCTTATACCTGTCAGGGAATAAGGGAAACTTTTGTTATCATTGAAAGTAGAACCCAGTCCCAGATTACTCTAGCCAACAGTCTAGGACCAGACAAAAAAAAAAAAAAAAAAATCCTTTCCAAAAGCTGTATACTATGCAGCTCAGCATTTTAGTTTATGACCCATATCATGGCTGCTAACAAAGGAGACAGTGAAACTAATTGATAAAGGGGTATTGCTAGGTTTCTTAAAATTATTTTTAACACTTATTCATTTTTGAGAGACAGAGTATAAGTGAGGGGAGGAGCAGAGAGAGGGAGACACAGAATCTGAAACAGGCTCCAGGCTCTGAGCTGTCAGCACAGAGCCCGACACAGGGCTTGAGCCCACAGACCACAAGATCATGACCTGAGCTGAAGTCGGCCGCTTAACCGACTGAGCCACCCAGGTGCCTCTTTATTTTTTTTTTTATAGAGTTTTGAGAAGTAAAAAAAAATTTAAAAATTAAAAAACTAGAAAGATCAGCCTCCAAATTATTTCTCCTCTGCCAAGCAAATTTTCCAAGTATTATAAGTTAAAGATCAGCCTCTTGTCCCCAAAACAACTTATGTACCCGCCAGAACCCTGTTAACCTATCTATAACCCATCTATTGCCACCACTGATTGAGAGCTCACCATCAGCAGGCTCTGGGCTGAGGACTTTACATGGTGTATTGCATTTCATCCATCTGACAGCTTTCATGTTTGGGATCCTTAGTACCTATCCAGATAGGGAAACCCAGAAGGAGTTTAAATGCTTTGCCCAAGACATACAGATAATAAGTAATGGAGTGGCATTTGTAGTAAAGACTTTCTGACTCCAAACTTTCTTTTTCAAAACTCCAGACTTTCTTACTTCTGTCTTGGACTTACTGTGTGTCAAGTACAGTTACCATCACTTAAGATACGGAGGTGAAGGTAACCTGGAGGAAAGACGAACAAGGAATGACAAAACCCCAAGGCTGTCATATGTCATGGGTAAGTGTGGTGAGAAGCTCTACTCATCCCCCAGCTACTGTCCCCCTCCACACTCATGCTGCTCTGTCACCTGCACTCCTTACTTGTTCCTTAAATACACAAATATTCGTACCTCAGGGCTTTTGCGTTTCCTTCTAGGTTTGCATGTAGTTTATCCCTCATATCACCTAGGTCTGTGCTCAGATATCTGCTTAGCTAATCTGCACCCCTTTCCACTATATTCTTCCCGTGTTTTATTTTTCTTCATATCATTTAGCACTATCTGTATGCATGAATGTTTACATACACATACTCATTTATCTACCAGCGACTCCCCAGTTAGAATTTAAACTTCATGAAATCGGGGCTTTGTTTTATTGTCTATTTTATGTCCGGTGCTGGTAGGTGACCAGTAAATATTTGTGAATAAATGGATGTGTCTCCTGGATGGCCTGGTGTTATGAGTGGTTAATGAAATAGGCTGTCCCTGAAAAGTAGAACTAAAAGAAAAGTATAAGTCCCTATATACTTGTTTTCCCACTAAAGGTCTGGATCTATAATCTGAGTTAAGGTTCCCAAAGAAGCCTCCTGCTTCTACGAGACAACATTCCTTTTCTTTGTCAGATAAACCTCTCTGTCTGTGAGAGGACCAGGTTTTAGACCACAATTGGGATTCTGAGCAAACATTCAGTCCCCACAACAGACTTTTCATTCTTCGTCATGAGTCCCATGTAGATCTCCTTGTCAGCAAGTCTGACTCTCAAGACACACTTACTGTGTTTCTGGGATGCCCTTGGTGAAGTTTAGGGCATAACTTTATCTACTTTGCTATAAGATGATAGAGACGCATGCTATGTAAAAATGGCTAAAGTTATTCATATATGCCTAGTAGAAGTGGGACCATGGATTTACATGGCTCAAAAGCTGACTCTGAAACTATTGTTCCTTGGGCCCTATAATGACATCCTCTTGGTAATATCTCTTTTAATGAAGACGATGCATTCCAATGAAACCCTTAAGTGCAATAATTTATCAGAGGAGTAATGGCCTAGAAAGTCCCAGGGGGGTGATCCAGCTTTGGCAACTAGTGTGTTGCTTCTATTTCCCCCAAATTGCTTAAGAAAAAATAGATTCAGAGAAGCCAGTGTATACAGAAGCATCAGTGAGGCTCCATTCTCCAGGGTAGTCCTCAGCCTCATCCCTGCAACTGTAGTTGCCAAGAATTTGTGTAATTTAAAAACAAAACAAAACAAACACTCTTAATTTATTTTTTATTTTGTTATTTGTTTTTAGAAAGAGAGAGAGTGCACAAGCAGGGGAAGAGCAGAGGGAGAGGGTGAGAGAGAGAATCTCAAGCAGGGTCCACACTCAGCACGGAACCCATGGGATCATGACCCGAGCCGAAATCAAGAGTTGGATGCTTACCTGACTGAGCCACCCAGGCGCCCCAACACTCTGCCCTTTAAAATAATGGTGTACTTCATAGGTACCAGATGCTCATGAAATCTTTATTGATAAAATCTCATTTCTTGCCATTCAGTGCCACTCTGAACACACAGTATGGTGGGAAAATGCATTCACATTCCAAAGACCTAGATAACAACTTAAAGGCTTAATTTTGGGTAAGCATTGCCATCACTACACACACATACAGAGGCTCGTCCATGCCCTGCAGTCATCAGGCACAGCCTGTACATGCTCTCTTTGATCCCTGAATAGCATCACATCTAGTGAAGATGATGGAGACCGCCTTACCTGGGCTCTCCCTATTCTCATGACCAGGCAAGGACCCACCTTCTCCCCAGTCAGGCCAGGCCCTAAACTATTCTTGAGATAAAGTCCCTGCATCCTCAGATGTTGCCTTAACCACCGTCATCTCAAAACATAGACATCAAATGGAATTGAATCTTCAGCAAGTTCTTTGAAGATCAGAAACTCTCTAAGCCCACTCCAAACCTTGGTCAGAGGATCTTTGTATCCAACGGGCTGTAAATAGCTCTTATTTATGGAGCCCTTTACTATGTGCTAGTGTGGTTGGAGCATAATGAGCAAAGGGTAGGGAAGTAGGAGGTGAGGTGAACACAGGTAGATAGGGCCCAGATCAAGAAAACACTTGTTTAGAGGGATTTGAGAGACCTGAGAGGTCCCCTTTCAATAGGTCACAAAGCTTGTTATTGACAAAGCTGGGACTCAAATCCAGGCCTACCTGCCCCCCTGGCCCATGCTTTTAACAATTATGGTGTCCTAATTGCACTCATTACCATTGTGTCAACTTTCTTTAGAAATTTCCACTTTTTATTTATAATTTATTTTTTTTCCAGTCCATCTTCCCTTTTCTTAAATCCCTTCATGGGCAAATTTCTTAAAATATCCATCTATACCCATTGCCTCCCAATTCCCAACACCCACCCTCCTCTCTGTCTTGTAAAATCCATTCTCTGCTCCAATTCTTTCAGGAAACCCCTTCCTCATGGAGTTCCAGTGTGGTTACTGAACCTCAATTCTAATGGATTTTTTCAGCCCTTATTTCTCTCAATGTCTCTACAGCATTTAATACCTTTTCCTTCCGGAAAATCTCTTCTCCTTTAGCTTCTGTCACAGCAAAACAACTTCTTATGCTCCTATGCTCCTATATATGCTCCTGTCCCCCATATTTGTGATTGTGCTTCTGTTCTCAACCCTCTTCTCTAGGTAGTCATTTTCCTCAGGTCAACTACCACCTAGAAGTACATGATTCTTAAGCACTACAGTGTCTTGAATTCTTCTATTGTAAATCAGCTCATGGACTGAATTCTTCTTTCATCCCCAATTCATTTCTCCTATTACACTTCTTATTTCTTTCATTTTTAATTTTTAAAATTGTTTTAATGTTTATTTTTCAGAGAGAGAGAGACAGAGAGAGAGAGAGACAAAGCATAAGCAGGGGAGGGGCAGAGAAAGAGGGAGACAGAATCTGAAGCAGACTCCAGGCTCTGAGCTGTCAGCACAGAGCCCGATGGGGGACCCGAACCCACAGACCATGAGATCATGACCTGAGCTGAAGTCAGATCCTTAACCGATTGAGCCACCCAGGTGTCCCTCTTCTTATTTATTTTAAAGGCAACCTAATTCTTCTAGTACGTGAGGCTGGGAAACTTAGTCATCCTAGAACCTTCACTCAATTCTCATAGCTCATTGCTCAACAAATCATGTCAATTCCATCATGACAACATTTCTTCTATGCATCAATCTCTTCTATCACACTGCCATATTTTAATTTCATATTATCTCTCACCTTAATTATTGAACATACTTTTCTGCTTTCCTATACATTGACACGAAAGCAATCTTTGAAAAATTTAATCCAACATTCCAATTAGTCCTCATGCCCTCATAATAAAATATGTACTCTTAACTATGGCTTAATGGTATCAATCAGGACAGGTTGGGATTTGCTGAAGTAATAAACAACCTCTAATGTGTCCATACCTGAATGATACATTTCTTTTTATTTTCCTCCTTTATTTTTATTGAGGCAAAATTGATATATAACATTATATTAGTTTCAGGCAGACAAGATATTCAATATTTGTATACACTATGAATTGATCACCACAAAGTCTAGTTACCAATCGTCACCATATAAAGTTACAAAACATTGTTTTCCCTTGTGATGAGAACTTTCAGTATTATTCTCTTACTAACTTTCAAGTGTGCACTATAGTATTATTAACTATAGTTGTTGTGCTGTGCATACATCCCCAAGCCTGATTTATTTTTAATTGGAAGTTTGTACCTCTTGATCCCCTTCACCTTTTCACCCAGCTCTAACCACCCCCTCCACACTAGCAACCATCGTTTTGTTCCTTGTATCTGTGAATTTTGCTTTGCTTTGTATTGTTTCATTTGTTTCTTTTGTTTTTTAGATTCTACATATAAGTGAAATTATACACCATTTGTCTTACTCTGTCTGACTTATTTCACTTAGCATAATTTAAAGGTTCATACATGTCACAAATGGCAAGATATTATTCTTTTTCATGGCTGAGTAGTATTTGTATATATGGATATATAATGGATATATGTATCCATTCATCCATCAATGGACACTTATGTTGCTTCCATATCTTAGCTATTGTAATAATGCTGCAACGAACATAGGGGTCCATATATCTTTTTGAATTAGTGTTTTCATTTTCTGAATACTTAGTAGCAGAATTTCTGGATCAATCATATAGCAGTTCTATTTTTAATTTTTTGAGGAAACTCCATACTATTTTCTATAGTGACTGCACCAATTTACACTCTCAAAACATTCCCAAAAACAGTGCACAAGGACTCCCTTTTCTCCACATCTTCACCAATATTTGTTATTTCTTGTCTTCTTTATAATAACCATTCTGACAGGTGTGAGGTGATATCTGATGATGGTTTCTATTTATATTTCCCTGATGATTAGTGATATTGAATATCTTTTCATGTACCTGTTGGCCATCTGCACATCTTCTTTGTGAAAATGTCAATTCAGATCCTCTGCCCATATTTTAGTCAGAATGTTTGTTTGTTTTGCTATTGAGTTGTATGAATTATTTATATATTTTGGATATTAATACCTTATCAGATAAATAATTTGCAAATACCCCATTCAGTATGTTGCTTTTTAATTTTGTTGCTTTAATTTTCCTTTGCTGTGTGGAAGCTTTTTATTTTGATGTAGTTCCGTTTGTTTATTTTTGCTTTTGTTGTCTCTGTTTTTGCTGTCAAATCCACACAATCGTTGCTAAGATCAATGTCAAGGAGATTACCACCTATGTTTTCTTCTAGAGGTTTTATGGATTCAGGCATTACATTCAAGTCTTTAATCCATTTTGAGTTAATTTTTGTGTAAGATAGTGGTTTAGTTTCATTCTTTTGTATCTGACTGTCCAATTTTCCTTGTGTGCCTGGAATAAATCTCACTTCATCATGATGCATCATCCTTGTATTTTATAGTTGAATTTGGCTTGCTAATATTTTGTTGAGGATTTTTGCACCTATATTAATCAGGGATATTGGAGTATAATGTGTGTGTGTGTGTGTGTGTGTGTGTGTGTGTGTGTGTCCTTGTCTTGTTTTGGTAGTAGGATATCACTGGCCTCATAAAATATATTTGGAAGCATTTATTCCTCTTCAATTTTTTGGAAGAGTTTGAGAAGGATAGGTATTAAATCTTTGAATGTTTGGTAGAATTCACCAGTAGAGCTGTCTGGTCCTGGGCTTATGTTTGTTGGGAGATTTTTGATTATTGTTTCAATCTCCTTATTAGTAATTGGACTATTCAGATTTACTATTTCTTCCTAATTCAGTCTTGGAAGAATGTATGTTTCTACGAATTTAACCATTTCTTAAAGGTTGGCCAACATTTTGTTATATAATTGTTCTTAGTAGTCTTGTATGATCCTTTGTATTTCTGTGGTATCAGTTGTAAGTTCTTTTTCATTTATGATTTATTTGAGCCTTCTTTTTTCTTGGTGAATTTAGCTAAAGATATGTCAATTTGTTTATCATTTCATAGAACCAGGTCTTAATTTTAGTTCTTTTCTATTGTCTTTTAAATCTCTATTTCATTTATTTCTTCTCTGATCTTTGTTCTTTCCTTCCTTCTACTGATTTTGGGCTTCGTTTGTTTTTCTTCTGCAAGTTGCTTTAGGTGTAAAGTTAGATTGTTTATTTGAGATTTTTCTTGTCTCTTGATGTCAGCCTGCATCAGTATCAACTTCCTTCTAAGAACTGCTTTTGCTGCAGCTCATAGATTTGGTATGTTGTATTTCCATTTTAATTTGTCTCAAGGTATTTTTTTATTCCACTTTTGATTTCTTCATTGACTCGTTGGCTGTTCAGGAGCATCTTGTTTAATCTCCACATATTAGTGACTATTCCAGTTTTCGTCTTATGATTGATGTGTAGTTTCAAAATATTGTAGTCAGAAAAGGTGCTAGATGTGATTTCAATCTTCTTCAATTTATTGAGACTTATTTTGTGGCCTAACATATTATCTACCCTAGAGAATGTTTCATGTGCACTTGAGAAGAATGTGTATTCTTCTATTTTTGGATGGAATGTTCTGCATATATCTATTAAGACCATCTGGTCTAGTGTGTCATTCAAGACCAATGTTTCTTTATTGATTTTCTGTCTGGATACTCTAGCCATTGATGTAAGTAGGGTATTAAAGTCCCCTACTACTATTGTATTGCTGTCAATTTCTCCCTTTAGGTCTGTTAACAATCGCTTTGTATACTTAGGTACTCTTATGTTGGGAGCACAAATATTTACAAATGTTATATTGTCTTGTTGAATTGACCTCTTTACCATATGTAATGCTTTTCTTTGTCTTTTATCACAGTCTTTGTTTTAAAATCTGTTTCATCTCATATTTTCTCCAGCTTTCTTTTGGTTTCCATTTGCATGAAATGTGTGTTTCTGTTCTTTCACTTTCAATCTGTTTGTGTCCTTAGATCTGAAGTGAGTCTCTTGCAGGCAGCATATGGATGGGTTTTGGTTTCTTATACATTCATCCATTCTGTATCTTTTGATTAGAGAATATAGTCTATTTACATTTAAATTAATCATTGATAGGTATATGCTTATTGTCATTTTGTTAATTTATTTCTGATTGTTTTGTAGTTCCTCTTTGTTCCTTTCTTCTTCTCTTGTGATTTGATGACTTTCTTTAGTGTTAGGTTTAGATTCCTACATTCCCTGAGAGCTACTCCATAGCCTCTAGGTGTATAGAAAACCTAAAGCACGCCTTTCAGGTTGAAGCTCCAGGACAAGTAAATAGGCCTTTTTCACAGGAAGACTGGAGGATATGTTTCAGTCTACTGTGTAGTGTCCTGGGAGTGGTGGCCTGCCAAGAGCTGTCTCTCTGTTTGTTACAGTACTGTGGACTCAGGAATGCAAGGCCCCCTGACCACTAAAACCAGGCAATCAAGGAGAGTCCCCTGTGTGGTCTGCAAATGTGCACCAGCTTTAGCAGGGCAGTGGATGAGCACAGGAACCGTATACCCCTGCTGGTGTTAGCAGGGCAGTGAGAGAGAGCATTTATTTTTCATTCACACGACATCTGATGGGTTCAAAGGAACCTGATATGACTCTTCACAGAAGCTGCCCTCTACAAGATGGCTCAGTATTACACTGCCATGTCAACACATGTTTTTATAATCTTATGACAACACAACCAGATATAGAGTTGAATACCAGTAATTAAGTGCTTCTTCCTATACACATTCCATTGGATACAGGAAATCAGATGGCCATGCCTAATTTCAAGGTGTATGTAAGTATAGTCCTTCCCTGTGTCCAGAAAAAGAGGGCAACAAGACTTCAGTGAATAGTAAAAAAGTTCGCCACAGCTTGCACATGTTTGAATGGTCTGTTCCCTGCTTTTCTAGCTAAGCTTATCTTTGGTTACTCTCATCCCTCTTTCAACAATCTACGTCCCGGCCTTCCTGCAGTAATTCCAGTTTTCCCAAACACAATTTGACTTTCTTCCATACATTCTTGCTTAAATTCCCAAGATTCATAATTAAGGTTATCTATCCAATAAAACTTTCCTGACCCTCAAGAACATATTAGATGCTCTGTTAATGGGTCTGCATAGACCTGCATTTATTGTATTAACATAGATTTTTCATTGACTGTACTGAAATTGATTGTACTGAAATTTCTTTGACTGTGATATTACCCTGAGGCTCTGAGAATAGGTAGCATTTCTTATTCATATTCATATTCATATCTTACTCAGACCCATCTAATAGGTGCTCAGTAAAAATTGGTTCAATAACTACATTATCTAGCACATAAAGTCCAGGTTTCTTAACTTGACCATTATCTGGCTCCTACCTCCTTTCCAGGGTTGGCTCTGTTATGTGCCTTTATGAACCTTATTTTATCACACAGTTAAGTTACTTACTATTTCTATTACATGTCCCACATTTTCCAATCTTTGCATCTTTGTTCATACTGCTTCTTTATCATGAAATCTTTCTTAGCCACATTTTTGTACTTTTAGGTCCTACAGATATTTCAAAGGCCAGTTCTAAAGACAGTTCTATTTCCAACCTGAAATAATGTCTCCCTCCTCTAAATGCCCATCAAATTTTACCCATAGCCTATAATACTACTTTATCAAACAAAGTGCTCAGTAAAGGTTTGTGGGATGAATGTTGAATGTTCTACACAGTATAAAATAATTTCCATTCCCTTCTCACCTCAGAAACAAGAAGTGGGGACATCAAAAATACATGAAATATTCAACACCCTCTTCGGTCCCTATTAACAAGCTGCTGGAACCATGACCCTAGAGTGCACAAATATCTGTGCAACTTTAAATGAATTATCAACAATCAACATTTTGCCAAGGAAAACCAATAGGTATGTCTTATTTGTTGTTTTTCCTTATTCTTTCTTCCTGTTGGATTTATTAATGCCCATATCATTGGAGCAATAATAAGCCCTAAAATTAATGTCCAATGTCTTTTCTGGCTTAAGACTTAATTTATTCCCCAAGCCTTAGACTCTGGCACAATTAGGTTTTGATGCATGTACATTTCTGCTTACTCGGGACTTAGTAGGAAAGGACTCCACATTTTGAATGGCCTCATAAATATATATTGAATTTAATTTTCTAACATGCAAAACCCATTTTCCTGTTGTTCAAAAGTTTTTTCAGGCTGGGGGTAGAGCAAGTTTCTATTAAGTATTTTTGTGGTGTGCCATTAATTAGTTCATAAATCAACATGTCTCAGAATTGCACAGATTACCCTAAAGCCAATACACTTAGCATCACAACATACAACTGCATTCTTCAGTCTCACCCATGTCTTGCAAAGGTTTTGTTCCAAGCAATTAAGATTGTTGGGGTCACTTGGACATTAATAAGTCAGTCATACTTCAACAGTTTTTACTACATTCCTTTAAAAAAACGTTACTATATTTAATTATACAATTACATAGTTTACAAAAATATCAGTGGAGAAAATACTGATGAACTAAAAGATAAAAAAGCCTCCCAAGATCCTCACCGGCACAAGAAACAACCACAGTTAATATGCATGTTTTTAGTTCATTCAATCCCTAAGCCTTTCTTTCTTTATTGTTTTAAAACTACTTTCTCACTTCTAGTCAAAATGCCTTATGTGCTTTATTGCCCACATTCACTGCTGGTCACTATGCTTTTTTTTTTTTTTTTTTTTTTTTTTTTTTTTTTTTTTTTTTTTTTTTATTTTTTTTTTTTTTTTTTTTTTTTTTTTTTTTTTTTTTTTTTTTTTTTGATGAGACTATGAAATTGTGAATTCTCTCAGTGGAACAAGAACAGGAATAGGAGCAACAACTCAAAAGATAAGAATTATCTTACATTGGATACTCTCCTCTTGCTTCCAGTGTCACTAAAGCCACAGACTGGTCTGGCTCCATTACATACCCTGCTGGTGCAGCCACTCTGCCCTCACCTGGGCACAGGCAAGGAGTATGCACAGAAGCCACGGGCCTCTGCCTTTCCTGACTTGAAGTTCTTCAGACTTTAAAAGTGTATAGGGGCGCCTGGGTGGCGCAGTCGGTTAAGCGTCCGACTTCAGCCAGGTCACAATCTCACGGTCCGTGAGTTCGAGCCCCGCGTCGGGCTCTGGGCTGATGGCTCGGAGCCTGGAGCCTGTTTCCGATCCTGTGTCTCCCTCTCTCTCTGCCCCTCCCCCGTTCATCTGTCTCTCTCTGTCCCAAAAATAAATTAAAAAAAAGTTGAAGAAAAAAAAAAAAATTAAAAAAAAAAAGTGTATAGATGAGGAGCGCGTGGGTGGCTCAGTCGGTTAAGCATCTGACTTCAGCTCGGGTCATGATCTCATGTTTTATGATTCTGAGCCCCCCGTCGGGCTCTGTGCTGACAGCTCAGGGCCTGGAGCCTGCTTCGGATTCTGTGTCTCCCTCTCTCTCTGCCCTTCCCCCACTTGCACTCTGTCTCTCTCAAAAATAAATAAACACTAAAAAAAGTGGTTTTTTGTTTTAAGTTTATAGATCAAATGAGGAAGCAAAGACACATGATGGAGGAAAATGGCAAAACATTTAGCTATGACTTTGGCTGAAAGCAGAGTGGCCTGGAGACAGATTCCTTTCTTTTTCTTCACCCCTAGATCCAAGCTCCAAAAGATATAAGTAGGCCAAAATCATCATTACTGATAATGTTCCAAGGCAGGGGTCATTCATTATAAACAAATAAGCACATGATCCAGGTAATGTGTCTGGTCAACTACTCCAACTCCCACCCCACCCCCAGAGCATGATTACAGGAGGCTCTTTTCCATCAGTCCCTGACTTAATTGGAACATTGAAGATTAGGCCCATTTTCATTCCCAAACTTTCTTGACATCTAGACCCACATAAGCCTTACTTTCTAATTACCAGGTAAATTCAAAAACTGAAAATATTCTTCTCTCAGAGATGGTTAAGACTGATTTTTTTCTTCAATCATCCACTAACATAGGTTAGTGTTCTCACTAAGTATTCAAAGGAAAAGGAGGCAGAAAGCACAACTATTTGAAAAAAAAGATTTACCAAGGTAAATGAGCCAATAGGAACTTCTTCATGACACATGCTGGAAGCGGATGGAAGGGATGAAGCATGCTAAACTCACAGAGGAGTAAAGAATGGAGAACTGTAGTGAAATAGAGCGGGAGATGCAGGTATTATTCAGATAGGTCTTCAGGGAAGACAAAACAAGGCGGAGCACCCTGGAAAGGGCAAATACATCCATTAAAAGAAGAGGAGAAAAGCTGAAGAGGCAGAGTGAAGCAAGGAGGCTGAAGAGGAGAAAGGGAACGCAAGAAGGAAGTAGATAGGGCACCATTCCCTGACCTTCTGTGTACTTCTCCTGGAGAAAGGAGCTCAGACACTGCCTTTCATGCTGTTCCCATGGCTCTGAAAGATGAACTTCACTGAGGGAGAAAAACACTGGCCATGTCTTCAGTTCCACGTAAAGTCCATTTTTCAATGTGGCCTAGAGTGAAATGAGCACTTGATTCTGTAATGTCTCCTTGTGCATATTTCCATATATTCAACATCTCTTTTTTTTTTATAATTCTTACTCTGTAAGTAAAAAAATTTCCTAAGCCAGAGAGGCCTCCTTAAGTGACAAAGCCACGTAAAACAAAACCAAACAAAAAGCAATGAACTGTGGAGAATCACAAACATCGGTTCATCTATCCACCTGTGCAACCATTCCTTACCTATTCATTTCTCGTCTGTTCATTATTTCTTTGTCAATTCTTATTTATTCACTCTTTATCCCATGAAGGCACTGTTATTAGTCATGAATAGATCAATAAAATGAAGATTTTTATCTTCAATGAGTTTTCTCTCTGAGATATAATCACCATTTCCATTCTGGCAAAAACACACAAGAAATTCCTTGTTTTTTTGTCTTAATCCTGCATTCCTAGCTTTGGGTCCTAGTCTCCAAAATACACAGAGAAAAAGCCTCTCCAGAGCAATAGCCTAATTATGTTATCAACTTAAGGGGGGGGGCAAAAAAACCCTTTTATTTGCATTAGATCTCTCAGTATTCAACAGGTTTTCTTTTACTAGGAGAAACAAACCATGCTGAGCTCCACCTGTAGCCTGCCATGCAGTGAGTGGCTGACAGACCCATCCCTTTCTTTTCCCCCTTTAAGACTGTTCACATCCCCCCACCCTGTGAGAGAAGCTCAATGGGGTTTAATCACTCTCATTAAGAAAAGTCTAAGACTAATCAAGGTGACTAGAGTTCACAGATACCTGGTATCTGACCCTTAATCCAGTATTCTTTTCACCTGACACCTCACCACCTATTGGTTGGACAAATACTAGGGGAAGAAATTAAAATGGCAAAGAAAATTCCATTTGGCTTTGAACGGTTGGAAGCTGTTTGCACCACAGGGATTTTTCTGCACCTCCATGGAGATGACCGACCCCTCAGCTCCCACACACCTTGGTCTCTACAACATACTAGGTCCTCTTCTGCAGTAGCAACAAGAACTTTGCTTGGCTGGCCTCTCAGAAATCCTGTCAGGTGAAAAGCAGCAGCTTCCCAGTGACAGCCGCTGCCATTCCCTCCTTCTGCCATCAGAATAAAAGCCAAAGTTCTCATAATGGGCTTGAGGCAAGAGACCATTAAGCTCTCCATCGTCTGCCACCCTGCACCCCCGCTCTCTGTTCTGGCAAAGGCGCCACAACAGGGCGCCCTTGCTGACTCAGAACAGACTAAGCTTCCTCCTACCACAGGGCTTTTGCTCTGCTGTTTCCTTGGCCTGGAACACTCTTTTCCCAGATACCCTCAGTGGCCACTTCTATGCTGCCTTTAAGTCCTTGCCCATGTGTCACTTTTTCCATAAGGCTCACCGTGTCCGCCATACTTATCATGTCAACTACCTCCTTCTTGGCTCACCCCTCTTTTTTTTTCTGTTGGTTTTGTGTGTGTGTGCCAGAGCACTTATCATCTTCTAAAATATATATTGTACTTAATATGCTGATTACTTATCTTCTGTTCCTGCCTCCTTTGCTTATATTATCCAAAGGTATAACACAAGAGGCACATGGGGCATGTTTATCAAGATTTTGTTGAATGAATGAACGAACACATCCCTAGACAGAAGTCCCAAGTTGATTAAAATAGATGCATGGTAGATATCATTCCTATACTGAGATCCATGGGAGCGATTAAGTCTTTCAAACAGTTATCTTTTATAACATTAGAGTTGCTGAAGTATCTTTTGTTGTTGTTGTTTTTTCCCCTCATGGAAATAATTCCCAAGAGATCCTGGGCTCCCTTAATCCTGCACTATCTCCCCGCAGGAGCCACATCCCCCAGAGCCGCCTGCACTGTCAAAGCAATTAAGGGGCTGCACTGACTGGAGCTCCTTCCTGCCCCATCTGAGCCAGGCTTCCGTTTAAGGCAGTCCACCTGGAGGCCACCCCTTGCGTACCCAGTCAAGGCTGCTCACACCTTAGCTTCCCCGGCCGGCAGCGTGTTTTCCTGTTTAGTCCATGTTAACATTCCACTGCAGGTTCTCCTAACTGGCACCTATTCTGTCTGATAAACCTCGTCCTCCCCCTTCCTGTTCCAGTCTTCTCTTCTCTTATAGAAACATTATTTATTTATAACATACCCTAACAGACAACTCTAAAGCCAAGAAGGAAGAAGGAAGCGTACCTCTTCCCAACAATACCCACGTGGGATATGAAGGGCGATTTTTCCCCTTGCAAGAGAAAGGCTAGAAGAGTGGCATAGGCTTAAAGGAGCCAGAGCTGGTGAGGTGGGGATGAAGATCTGGGGAGCCACCATCAGGGTGGGCTTGCTACACCATCTCCTCCGGAGCCCCCCTCCCAAAGCCCTCCTCATGCTTCCTCCTCAGTGAGGCACCAATATATATTTGGAAGTGGAAAGCTCTGACCTCTCGCATCTGTTTAAGTGGGCCATGCACCACAGAATGCATCTTGCAGGGGGAGGGAGCAAGGAGAGCTTTTAATTTTCCTTAATTTGTCTCGGTTTTCATTTCCATTTGAATGGTATGTGTCAGAAGACCTCTGTGTGGTGAAATGTCTTACCCTTGTCATTATTTCCTCTCCACAGTCTGCCTCATGCCCAGGAACTACACCTAGGAGTCGTTTCTGGCAGGAGCCCATCCCTTCTTGAACTTTCTGGGTATGTCTCCAATCCACCTTTGCTGCATTATAACAAGAATACCTGTGACCATTTTTAGGGTATGGGGCATAGGCTTTCAGGAGGTTGCTTTGCAATAAATAATTATTGATCCACTGCTTACCCACCTAAGTAAGACATTTGTAATCTTGTGACCATGTTGCACAATGTCTGGGAGGCCACATGAGCCATTACCAGAGAAAATCCAATCTTACTCTTAGCCCATCACAAACATGCTGAGGCCAGAGCATGGCACAAACAGGATCTTTACGGCTCTCCTCGGGTTCAGAGGGAGGCCTGCCTCTCCTCTCTCCTTTCTCCTTTAGGTCTCTCTGCCCCCCCCCCCCCCCGAGTCCCGTCTCCACCTAGTTATGGCTTCCATGCATGCTAAGTAGATAATCACACTATTTAGCATAAAGCATCTGAAAGACAAACAGACTCTGATTTGTTAATATCTGTCATCTCTCAAGCATAATATTAAGAGTTAAAAACCTAAGGAGCTCTGACTGCATGGCAGACACTGTGCTAAGCACCTTATGTGTATTATCTCATTCAAAGTCACAGACTGGGAGGTGACACACAGAAAGCCATACAGCTCAGTAGTAGATAATTCAGAATCCAAATGCAAGCTGTCTAATTCTAGAGCTTCATGAAGTAGGACCTAGAGCAGTACTGAGAAGGTTAAATGAGCTGAGACATACAAAGCATGTAAAACATTGCCTGGCACATGCACATGCTGAGACTCCAGGCAAAGCCGTGCTTCCCGCAGGGACGGACATGGATAGAACCAACCAGGAGGAGGGAAAGAGGAGGTAAGTGGTGTCACACACTCATTATTTGGAAAGTGTATATGAAGAGCAAAGGTTAAAAAAAAAAAAGTTGCATGGGGAAGCTTTCTTTCCCACAGCAAATCTACAGAGTGACTACTAAGGGCCAGGCCCTATGCTAGGTAGAAAGACGCAACCTAATTATTGCCTCAAAAAAAACACAGAGGAACAGACTTATAAATGGATAAGTCCACAAAGTGTTGTAGGCCTTATTAGAGCAGGATTTACAGAGAAGAGGGAGCAGCTGATTCCTACAGGGGTGGGGTTCAGGCGGGAAGGATTTCATAGGAGTGCCATTGGCCAGAATGAGGACCTCCAATTTGTAATACAACTACCACAACAACAAGGGGCCTTGGAATCAACATTTTCCTAGTTCCATCTGCTAAGCCTGGCAGCTTCCAGGAGCCGCTCACAGACGTCTGAAAGATATTTCTGGTCACATCCCCCCTCGTCAGTACAGTAGGAAGCAGACATTGTTCACTACTGCCGTATGCTTATGAAGTGTAGAGATTAAATCCAAACACACAGTCACATAAACCTCTTTAGCTTCGATGACTAAATCCTTTGTTCCACAAAGGTCATGTTTGTGTAGATATAAGAAGGTGTTAGGCAGTGAACTTGGGTTTACATTCCAGTTTTGTTTTGTTTTTATAGCCTTCAGATCCTAGTAATTTTCTGTCCTGCCCATATTACCACATTTCCGTGTTGTCATTATGCCAGGCTAAATACTTGCAGAATTAGAATAAACCCAGGAGAATGTGACAGAGTGGGAAGGATCCTGGACCTGGAGTTTGCTAATTTGGCGTCTAATCTCTGCTTTTCCATTTATTAGCATTGCTGTAACTTGGATTGCTCATCTGTGAAATGGGTTTCATAATAGGTACAAAGTGAGTTGCGACTCTGGAACTTGGAGGGAAATAAGATTGACTTTTGAGAATTCAACTAGTGGAATTTCACATGATGGATGCGACAAGCATCTGTGATAGTAAACTAGAAGATTCTCTGTGATTTGTAGCTTTAAATTTTTTTTTTCAACGTTTATTTTTGGGACAGAGAGAGACAGAGCATGAACGGGCGAGGGCAGAGAGAGAGGGAGACACAGAATCGGAAACAGGCTCCAGGCTCTGAGCCATCAGCCCAGAGCCCGACGCGGGGCTCGAACTCACGGACCGTGAGATCGTGACCTGGTTGAAGTCGGACGCTTAACCGACTGCGCCACCCAGGCGCCCCTGTGACTTGTAGCTTTAGAAACACCCCAAATTCCAGTCAGGTTGGTCTGGATGCAAACTCAGGTGGGTAAACTTAAAGATAAGATTTAGTAGGAAAAAAGTCAATAGTATTGAATCATCCTCCAAGAAAGATTTTGTCAATAAAAAGATAATCTAGGATAGGCAGTGGGGTCAGTCAACCCAAATCCAGCTTGCTGCCTGTTTTTGTAAATAAAGTTTTGTTGGAACATTTGCTTAGATATTGTCTATGGCAGGGTTTTTTTTCTTTTTGTGCCATAATTACAAAGTTGAGTAGTTATGACAGAAATCATATGGCCCACAATACTTAAAATATATATTATCCTGCTTTTTACAGAAATAACTTCCTAATCCCTAATGTAGATTAGCCTTTGATTTCCCAATCTTTGATCTCTTCTAACACATCTCCAAAATAAAATATACTCCCATTAGCTCCCAAATTGGAGCTGAGGGGCCCTGGTTCTTATCAGAATCTCCACATGTGGGGTGCAATTAAAAATGCCCTCTAGTGTGGATGTAGTGATGGAAACGCCAGGGCTTCCAATTTTGGACAAAATCTCAGACGAGATGCTACTTGCTGGTTGCACTGCTCATTGCAAATGACTAAATGACGGTCCTGACTTATCTATGTCAGTCTCTGTGAACTTAACTGCTTCAGTCCCTGAGAGGCAGATATACTCTCAATGTACCAGCACACTCAGGGTTCTGAATCTGCAAGGTTGTCATAAGAAGATCATGGATTCCCTTTTGCACTGTTGGTGGGAATGCAAACTGGTGCAGCCACTCTGGAAAACAGTGTGCAGGTTCCTCAAAAAATTAAAAATAGACCTACCCTATGACCCAGCAGTAGCACTAGGAATTTACCCAAGGGATACAGGAGTACTGATGCATAGGGGCACTTGTACCCCAATGTTTATAGCAGCACTCTCAACCATAGCCAAATTGTGGAAAGAGCCTAAATGTCCATCAACTGATGAATGGATAAAGAAATTGTGGTTTATATACACAATGGAGTACTATGTGGCAATGAGAAAGAATGAAATATGGCCCTTTGTAGCAACGTGGACGGAACTGGAGAGTGTTATGCTAAGTGAAATAAGTCATAGAGAGAAAGACAGATACCATATGTTTTCACTCTTCTGTGGATCCTGAGAAACTTAACAGAAACCC